ATATATATATATATATATATATATATAATATAACAACGTACCATAGCATTCACATATCGTCTCTTTGTACTTGGTACCGGCATTTGCAACATTCGAAAGAACACGAAGAGCCCACCTTTTGTCAATTTCTTTGCTGGTTGATGATACACAGAGCTCCTGAAGACACAAGACTCCGCCGTGCTCAAGGAACTCAACCAAGAAGGTATAGCTGTACATTTTAAGAAATTACAAAATATATTTAAGAACGTAAACTAGATCGTCATCGATTCAGATAAAATATAACTGATCAATAGTTTAAAGTAATATGCATCGTAAAAAAACAACCAAAATTTCTATAAAAAAAACCAGTCCCCAAACCCATTTGACGAAATTTAGTGCTGTACTATGTTAGACATAGACATGGCAAAGCTAAAAAACAAATAAACTTTCGTTACTATATTTAAACAAGGCGTTTAAGAAACCATTCTTTGGAGTTTAAAGCTTATGTCATATAGGAGAAGTACTGAAGGTAAAATACGCATGTTTTTGAGTCTTATCCCAAACTTATCTGTTTTCATTTAATATAATAGCTCGCTCAGTATGACATGTAAATGAAGAAAAGTTTGGAAAAATTAGTAAAATAACAGGTAGGCAACAAAATAAGAAAAACGATTAATAATTTAATTATAAGGTCAAAAGGGTCCATTTTATATGATGAAAATTAGTCAATAAGATTCAGATAAATGTAATTAAAGGCGATGCAATCTACAAGGGATATACAAGGAGGAAAAGTTAAGAGGGCGGAGCAACTTGCATCATATATAATAACAATGTATATATAAAGAAAAATCTTAATTAATTGAGCCCAAAGGTGCACAATATTGAAGATATACATCTACGAATAGATTTCAACGTGTTTTGATTGCATACTTACGTGGCAATATAAGAAAAATTACGAAAGAGCATCAAATTGAGTAAGGGCTTTGCAAAATCATCACCGCGAGTTTTAACGGCTGATGAAAATTAAAGCACTTAAGAAATCTGGAATAACTTTTGCGTCAATAAATATAAAATCATGCGGGTTTAAAGATTCAAGCAACGGTTGTCGAGGAAACTTTGGTCTAAGATTTAGATCCGGAAATAAAATAACAAAAGATAGAAGTAAAATGTAAATCTTCATCTATATAGTCGGCAGACAAAATTAAAGCGCTAGATTTTGATGTGTGAAAATGACAGATAATTATCGAATAGCTTAACTCGATTAGAGGACTATAATCGGCAACCAAAAAA